CCCTGAGTACCTGAGGCCAGGGGCCTAGGGGCCTTTTGCTGTGAAACTCGGCAAAAAGCTGTATTTTATTTGTGCTGGCAAACTATGGGAACCCTGTAAAGTTGCAACCAAACCTCTATTTTTCCAAAGAAAACTTCGAAAGGACAACATTTTTGCTGCCAAACTTGGAAAAAACAATATTTTTTTTGCTATTAATCCTTCCAACTCCGGACTGTTTGGCTGCTTCTTTGTTTGCAAACACTTCCGCCATTCCGTGTTCCGTGCTACCCACGACAACCAATGACGTCAACTGTTATGGAGTCCGTTGACGATTAGCCCTGAGAGTTCCCTGTGCGCTTTCTCCTCTGACGAAATATAATAGCCACTGGTGACTGATCTTAATTACCCTTCCGTTGTCAAGGTTCTCACGCTCATTGCTCACCCTTCCAACAATGTAACTTCCTTGGTCTCCACGTTTTGAACATACGACATTTCTCATCTGATGTCATGTTTTTTTCCTGTTGGCTCTCGGAGTCTATGCTTGCCGGTAATAAGTAACCGGACTGGTACCCCCCAGAATAGAAGGGGTGAGTGTGTTGTGTGGTAAAAAAAAAAAAAAAAAAAAAAAATAAAAAATTGCAAATTGCAATCCTCTCATGCTAACACCTGATCCAAGGAGTCGCCAATCAAACCTCCTCCCCCCCATCAAGTTCATGCTACCTATCACCAAGATTCCACAATGCCAACTTTGTTGGCTCGCGCATAGAATGTTACACGAGCCGACATGCAACAAAGGATCTACCAGCATCACGAAACAGACTCACACGGACTGGCATGCTGTGTGTGTGAGAGACAGAAAGGACACGGATCCCCATGATTGGGGAGAGGATTGGTCATGACCGGTTGTCGGTCTCGGTGTTCCACCTTACCTCCCCCAGCCATAACCGCCCGGGTGAAACCCATAAAGGGGTCTCAAAATGGGACCTTGCAGATGGTGGTAGAGGACTCGAGGATAATGATGCAGAACCCTGGTTCCACTCCCACAGGCAAAAAATTAAAAAAACGCTGAAGGGTGGGGGTGAGGGGGTGAGGTGTTACAGGCATACTGGGGAAGGGTTAAGGGGGTAGGCTAAGGGGGCTGGAATTTTAGGGGTAATTGAGTAGCGGAAAAAGGGGTTGCCACAATCTCGCTTGGCACATGGCAGCGCGGGTCTAGGATGGTCCTGAGTCCGGACCCTCTCTCTTTCTTTCGCTCTCACACAAACTCTCTCTCTCTCTCTCTCTCTCTCTCTCTCTCTCTCTCTCTCACACACACACACACACACACACACACACACACACACACTTGCATTGCTTTACCGTGATGAAGGTGTGATCCCAACTGGCAACTTCAACTGTTTAAATCTCTTGGCATCTAGGTCTGCAAAGAACAGGTGAAAATATACCTGCTTTTTGCATTTCCCTTCTCCATACCTTTACTTCGACGGATTTTCTTTGTCTATATCTCTCAAACTTGCAAATCAGTATGTGCACTTTTCCTGGTGGGTACCGTCCAATGCTGTAAATCCTTAGGATATGTGCAAACTGCCACTAATCCTTCCTGCGTCCAACCCTCTTTACCTAGCAGAGCTGCACCGGTCTAACAGAACAAGCCAAGATGACAACAGCTCTACAAACAGAAGGCATAGGGCACACACAGACACTGACTGAACACCCAGCAGGACAACGGATGAGAAACCTTTGTAAACTTTTGAGTGCGCTTAAGCGCCCAAACGCGAGCTTAAACCACCAGTACTTGGCCCATACATCAGCAGCGGGAATTCCCCATTAACGCGGCGACACGCAGGGGGTCAGCCAAGGGAAGGCCCAGTCAGTGCTTGAAGGCCGGGCGGGCTGGCGCAATCTTTCCCAGCATGTGACAGGCAGTAGAAAAAAAGACGAGAAAAGAAAAAAAAACAAATACCAAAACAAAACAAAGAAAAAGGTGCTCAAAAACAAAAACACCCGAGAGGATGAGAGAGAGAGAGAGAGAGAGAGAGAGAGAGAGAGAGAGAGAGAGAGAGAGAGAGATTGTAAGAGAGAGGCAAGTCAGGGAGAGAGAGATTGTGAGAGAGAGGTGAGTCGCCTCTCTCTCTTACTCTCTCTCTCTGCAAGGAAAATGAGCGATAGCGGATTCCAGAGACCAACCAGCATTATACACATGAAACCAGATAGTCGCCACCTTGAACCCAAAATCAGAATTGCAACAATAGTTCCACCAAATAAGAGCACAGCAAAAGCTCAGAATCGACAATGTTGGAACAGTCTCATCATCATCAACAATAAACCAATGTCAATTTCCTGTGTGTCGCTCAGAGCCCAGACTACGAATGACAGATCCAATCTTGCCTATCTACAATGATGCTGGTGACGTCAACAGTTCGCCGAAGTACGAGCAGATCTCGGTAAATGCCGTTCGCCTCAAGCACCAGGTATGTCTCATGCATCACTCACAACCTCGATCCCCCACACAGATGCCACATGCACCCAAGGACCACCATGCGCCCCGTCCAGCACCTCGCAGGCCAGCTCGGCTATGGCTGCCTGCATGTTCCTTGCTCGCCCGTGAGCGTGTGGGTGCTTGCCTGCCTGTAGCGCAGCAGCGCTTGCACAGCATGTAGCAAGTGCCCGAATGCCAAATGTGGAGGCAGGCACTTTCCTATATGGAAGTGGCCTGCCTGCTGTGTGCTGCCTAACTGCGCTGGGTCCTGCCCAGACGCTTCCGGTAGGCCCCAAGTGGCTGAGCCCCAGTCCAAGGGAATCAGGCACAGGGCCTGGTGTGGTTACCCGTGTCCAGCTGCCAGCGGCCTGTGTGCAGTCCATGCCCAGTGTCTAGCCCAGGGCCTGGGTTCTCTCAACAAATTGGCGCTGCGCAACTGCCTGAATTTCCCAGTTGTGTGCAAAGACCAAAATAGGCCTCTCGTCCCCTGTCAGGCCTGCCTTCACTTAAGGTGGTCTATATAACCTTTTGAGCGCGCAGAACGCGCATTCTCATTCGAACGCCCGCGTTCAAACGCCCTGTGTGCCACGTGGCACGAATCTGTCGAAAGCTACCCACCCTGCCATATGAGCGCATGGCGGACTACGGGTGGGGGGAATTGGATTTTCAAAAAAAAAGAAAAAAAAGGGTGGCAGTGTATATTTTCATGTACTAGCGGTAGATTCATTCGATTTTGCTCATCAGATCTATAGAAGTACCATGAGGTCAGCCGCGCTATTGGAGACTTACCTGCTCTCCTCTCTCTCTCTCTCTCTCTCTCTCTCTCTCACACACACACACACACACACACACACACACGCACACACACACACACACACAATGAAACAGAAACAAAAAAAAAAGAAACTGTGGCAGTGTATAAGCAGTGGATGCAATCTCACAGTTGAGCCAATTTTTCCTGAGTCATAGGAGAAGCTTGTTCCTCATGTACACCAAGGTGTACGGCCTTATTTCGATAGGCATGATGATACATTTGGAATTTAGCTGATTGGCATGGGTTGTTATTCATTTTTGACCTAGAAGTTTTTCTGTTGAGGTTATTAAAATTACCCTCTAATGTGTTGACAGATACAAATTTGTTACCATTTTGATATCATGTCCGTGACCGACTCTGTAAATCAGGAATCAAGCATCCTTCAACAAAAGATAGAACATCTAAAAAGACTCTAAATCAATGCAATCGCCTTAATTCCTCCCAATGCTTTGCTGATCTAACCATTGACTCAAGTTCCACAATAATCGGCCCCTTTCTTTATCACTG